TAAACAATATTACAAAATTTGGGGCGTTACGGATCCAGACTATGATCGTTGTCCAGTTACTAAAATAAAAAAGGAAGTTAATTTTATAGGTAGTAATTACAACTCAGATGGCAAAACAACCCTTCTAAATCTTCTAATTTTAAGGACCCAGGGAATTTTACTATCCCTTACACCATTGAATAAACTTATATTCATAAAGTCCTATGTGATTTAGAAGCTAGTATTAACCTTATGTCTTTTTCTGTTTTCATGAAGCCTGGGATGCATAAACCTAAGCCGACCACCATGTCACTACAGCTAGTAGATAAGAAGATTACATATCCTAAGGGCATAATAGAAAATGTATTTGTGAAGATTAAAGAATTCATATTTTCTGCAAATTTTGTAATGCTTGACATGAAAGAGGATGATGATGTTCTCATCATCTTAGGTAAGCTCTTCCTAGCCACAACAAGGGTAATTATAGATGTTTAAGAAGGAAAGCTCACATTAAGATTAGATGATGAGGAAGTTATTTTTCAAGTTTTTAATTCTTTTAAGTACCATTTTCACTTTGAATCTTGTAATTATGAGTATTGTGGATGTTTCTCCTCCTTCTCTAAATTATATGCAGTTGAAGAATACTTCAAAGAGGAATGAGCCTTTAACGCTAGAACATAGAACTCCAAGAAAAGGGTTAAAGAACAAGCACTGTAAAGATTTGGAAAAACAAAAGCTCAAACCTTCCATTTATAAACCCCTAGATTTAGTGCTTCAACCTGCTCCTCTTAATTTTAAGTATGCATTATTTTTTTCTCCTTTGTCTCTTCTTGCGATTCATTCTTCTAATTTGACAAGTATTAAGAAAGGGGATTACTAAAAAAGAATAAAGGAGCTCCTAGGTAGAGTATTGATGAGATTAAGGGTCCTAGTTTCCTTATTGATGCAAATTAGATCCACTTGAAGAAAGAACCATTCCAAACTAATGGACAAGGAGGAAAACTATACATTGAGGAAGTGGCCTCTAAGCTTTATGCCTTGTTTCTATCATCGCCCTGCAAGACTTCAAGCTCTCACAAGAGGCAACCTACATCGTCTATTATTTTCAAAGGCTAAGGCATCCTATATCCCTTTCTTTGTTTATTTTACATTTACTTCATCTATTATTTTCTTAGAATGAGGAATAAGCATACTAGAAGTTCCAAGGAGTCTGTTTAATCAGTACTGTGAAGCCCTCTGATTCATAAGCATGACCATGCTTGGTGATGTACACAGCTGTGCAGGAGGCTGTAACTGAAAACAAGGATTTTCAAAGGCTAAGGCATCCAAGGAACCCTATCTTTTTAGGATTCTTCGTCCAGAGCTACCACTTATCTCTCAGATGGGCAGTTTCAACAAACTTATCGGGGAGTCTCTTTCCTTTCTATTTTATGTCATTGACCTTTTCACTTATATTCAAATTACATTGAGGACAAGTTGTGTTTTAAGTATGAGGAGGTTCCCAATAAATATGTTTCTTATTGCACGCTTTTAAGTAAATTCATGTGCTTCCCTTTTTCTTAATAATTTAAAACTTTTATTCCAAAGAACTCAATTTTTCTAGATACAGAGCATATTGAGTGATTATTACTAAATTAAGGATTCATTAGGAAACTAATAATTAGCTAAGTTTCCTATTTTTCTACTCTACATTAAACTTAGCCCTCATATGTGAGTTTTGAGGCTTTAGGAGATTTTTGTCTTAATTTAACTAATGATACCTTTTTCCTCATTGTTTGGATGTGCAAAGATGTGCCCTTTAATGTGATAGTCAAAGCACACTGAATTTGGCTAAAAATATAGTATATCATGAAAGATCAAAACATATTGATGTTAGATTGAATTTCATTTGAGATGTGATTAAAGATAAATTGTTCTCCATGGGAAAAATAGTCACTACAGACACTCTAGAGGATATGTTAACTAAGCCTTTGCCTATAAAGAAGTTAAAGTATAGCTTGGACTTGATGAATATTCACATAGCTTTAGACCTTTTAGAGTGTGTTAGCAAGATCTTTTTTTGTTTTTGTCATAACATTTTAAACTTAGCATAGGGCTCTTTCTTGAAGGAAAAGAATACAAATCGTGCATGTAGAACCATCCGAAATAAATTGAACAATAAATAAGCTCGTGGATGTATATTTTTATTTGCTGATTTTTCAAAAATTAACATTATAACCAACTTAGTGTAAGCAATGTGTTTTCAAAATCAAGTTGTCATAACCCGAAAATGGGATTAGGACCAGCGTAAAAGCCAAGTTACCTAGAAACACCACGTAACCTAACAAGCCTACTTAGAAACCAACACATGAGACAATAAACCCTTAGAAACCAACACATGAATAAACCTTTTCAATCAAGTAATATGATAAAATTGCTAAAATTTCAACAAAGTTTCCTTTGTATTTTCATCATTGTAAAATATAATAACTTGTCAAGATTGATTTATAACTCAACCAGATTCAATCAAACTCTAACATATTGTAATATCAAAAACATCTAATACATATCTAAAATAAAAAGTCTAACTACTAAACAGTTGAGAATATTCAAACAAAAAAGGTGTCAAGGCTACCAAAACAATGGAGGCCATCAACAAAAATTCTACTGGGATGGACTGATGTTGCTAGCAACTTCACTATCTGATGATTTGTAAATATTAAATAAATATAAGATAAGTCACATAGACTCAATGAGGCCATAATAAACACAATAAACAAGAAAGAGAAACAAATATTGCACAAGTAGTTCACAATCATAGAACTTACTTAAACCATACCATTTTAAAAGAAATTCATTTTAGCCACTCTATTAAGAGTTTTGTCATGCTTAGAAGTTTACAAATTTATACTATTAAGAAAATATCATTTCAACCAATCAAGCATATTATAATAAAGTATACATATAATAGAAGTAAATAATATTAGTTTTCTAAAATATCATAAAGTAGGCATCAATATAATGCTATAAGAGTCACTCGTGAAAGAACCAAAGTCCAAGGTAGTTCCACATCATTGATAGCCTTCTCCTCCCAACGTCGGCCTCTCCCTTAGGGATAGTTTCATCTGACGGCTAGCTCTTTTATGGCATACATATGTCATAATTAATCTCGATGGAGTCAACTCCACCTTGATGATAGCCCTCTCCATATATTGGTGGCTCTATCTAATAGGTAGCCCTTTCCTCTCGGAGTATAACTAGGTGTACCTATGCTGTTATTTTCACAAATGATTACATGATTCTAACACAGCTCCTTCCAAAAATATTTATACAATGAAAATTTGTTCTTTTACACAAATCAAAATTTTTCAATAATCAAGGTCTCATAGCATAGGTCTCATAATTAAATACCATAAAAAAATTAAAGCAATAACTTCTTTCACACTTTTCTAAATAAACTCATAATTAAATAAAATAAACATTCCAATAAACTTTCACATGATCAAAAAATAAATCTGAGACTTATTTCCTCAAGTTAATAATTTTATGGTAATAATAACATAATGAATAATGAGAATAATAATTAAAAATAAGTCAATATAATCATTATTCACTCACAAACAATGAAAATCAATTATCTCACTTCACATTCACATTACTACTATGAAATCATGATAAAAGTGCAAGCCAATACTAACAATGTATAACAAGATTCATAATTAACTTCAATAATATAATATTTAGATATATACTCAAAGCTCTAAAATACACGTTTCTAGGAATAATAACTTGTCAAAACATAACATTTTGATATATTCAAGTTGTAAGCATACTTTAAAAACTCAAATAAAAATTTTCTCTATGTTGAATGACATCTTTTTTTTTATAGTACTATTTTAACTTCAAAAATTCACTCAAAGTCATCTATGTGAAGAAAAAATAAATGAGTTATATAGTTTTTTCAGAATCCTAAAAAAAATGAGTTAAAAGAAAAAAAAAAGTGGTCATAAAAAAAATCAGAGAACTTTACGAGAATCAAATTTATACTAGGGCAATTGGCAGTGTGCAGTGAAAACGAAAAAAAGGAAAATTAGAGGAGCGGGGCAGTGGCGCATGGAGAAAAGTTGAAAGGGGGTGATTGCGCCCCCTTTTTATTGACGCCAGATGCTTCTTTTTTTTTTTTTTAATGAAACAGTGCGTTTCATGTTACCAAGTAAAGCAAGCAAAGATACAATACTACTTGATTATAATAGAGGGAATAAAAGTAGAATATGGATTCAGCGTTCAGGTTTTCCCATACCAAATTACGTCTCTACCTGGACGTAGTCAATATTTTCAACGCAAAGGTCTGGTCAATGTAGCATTTACCCAATTCTATTATGAGCAATGTCTTACAGAAACAATTTTAGAAGCATGCCGATGCTCTTAGCCTACTACTTGTCTACTTATACTTGACAATGTAGAGTGTGATTAAAAGAATAATGTGGTGCAATATTATTTCAATTATATAAAAGATGGTAAAACTATAACACTATATATCAAACTTGTGAAGCGCACTTTGAGACTGCAGTTCTGTCTGTAAAAATTGTCTTGTGTGTTTGGGTCATTTTCTGTGGGGTCAAATGTATTTCATTAAAACAAATGTTATCATGATTCCTTTGTATTAAAATGAAATTATTATGATTATAAGAAACAATTTAAAAAAATAAAGAATCATTACTCAGCCACAATCAAAATCTCATGATTATCAGAGAGAAAATTTAGTGTTGAAGTGTTAATTGAATTATAAATATAATAATGATATTAATATATGCGTAAATTACTTTAGTTTCACTTTCATCTTTTGTTGTTTTCTTTTTCATCGCAATTTTTTGGGGAGAAATGTTTACCCTTTTCTAAGCGAGCTGAGCTGTCAAACGAAAGAAAGCAGAATACCCTTTCTTCCGCCGCTCGGTGAGTGCCTCTCTATGAGTTGAGTTGGATTGGGCCTGGAGATCCACTTGGTCCAGGTTGAGGCCCAGGCCCAATTGTGGTGCTCGCTATGTGACTGTAGCAGTCACTGTTACTCTCCTTCGGTTTCGTGAATCGAATCCCATCTGATCCCACCAGGACGGCACAATCAAAGTAAAGAAAAGAGCGGAGTGGACAGATCTCAATTCTAAGGTACCTGACCTCGCTTTCTGCTGTACCTTGTTTTCTTTTCAACTCATGTCCATAATTATTCATTTTTATCTATTTAATTTTCTGTTTTTATCAACATATTAAGGTTTTGTAAGTTTAGCAATCCTGGTCTGTGATTGTCTTATTGATTTGTTTGCCAATTATTATTATTATTATTATTTTGTCTTGTGGCGTAAGGTTGAGATGATTTTCATTGTGTATTGTAGCGAAACGACACCCATTCATGGGCTGCTTCAACTCTACTGTAAGAAGACAATTTCCTGGCCACGAGGACCCAGTAACTCTTTCATCACACACCGCATGTAAGTTCTTTTACTTCCTATTTATATATGCCCATGCAAAATCCACCCTACCCTGCGTAATTCTTCTTCAACATTCATTGTATTTAATCACCTTGTCTATCTACAATAACATATTGGCATTTCCCCTTTCCTCATTCATGTCATGCACCATTTTTTGTGAAAATTTTGGTCAGATATATGTTAATTTTGTGGTTTCAACTTGCGTGTCATTTTATTTCTTACTTCTCAGTCAGCGTTAGTGAGGTTGAAGCACTGTTTGAACTTTTTAAGAGCATCAGCAGTTCTGTTGTCGACGATGGATTGATCAGCAAGGTATCATATTGTCAATACAATAAATGCCGCTTTCAAGAATTACTCTATAATGCTAGCTTTGCTTATTTCTTTCCTGCCTTTACAAACTTACCAATGGTTCAGGGAGGCCTTTTTGTGAATTGTCTTACAATAAATTACTCAATTTGTTATTTGTTAGAATAATCCAGATCATTATTCATAATGATGGTTGGTCGGTAATTTCTCAATCATTCTTCCATATAATTAATCTGTGATATCTTCTGTTTTCTGTTTCAAGTTGTTTCTCCATATAATTTATAGGCCAAACTACATCCACACCCTTAATGAAATTACACTCGATGCTCCTCCCTTTTCTAACATTACTTTGGCCTCCCTTGATCTATATAAAATCAGGGTTATTTGCATCAAGGAAACTATGTATACGGTCTAGAAAGCAAGAGATATTATAAAATTTTGTTAAACTTCAGGTGGTGTGAGTATAATTTTCCCTAATGTTTATGGTACCTGTTTTCCTTGCTTTGTCATACTGAAAATGTCCTACAATTTCATAATACTCTGTGTTTGAAATCTTAAGTACATGTTGTGATTATGACTGTTCTTTCTTAGCAGGAAGAATTTCAGTTGGCACTTTTCAAGAATAGAAAAAAGGAGAATCTCTTTGCAAATCGGGTACTCCATAACAACCCTTTTCTTTCTTGAAAACTAGCACACTCATTTGATCGCTGCTTTGCAATGCACTTTTTGAATTGATGGTTGGTTCACTTCATTATTAATTGTCAAAGTTAGATAATAAATATGATGAATACTTTCGAAACAGGTATCAGTGTTTGTTTAGTTTTTGCATTTTTTCAAAAAAATTTCAGTGAATTATTATCCTGCTGCTTGTGGTAACTCCTTTGACTTTAAGTAGTTTTTTCTATTAATTTGACGTGTATTGATGTCAAAATTTTCTTCATGCAGATCTTTGATCTGTTTGATGTTAAGAAGAAGGGATTCATTGATTTTGGTGACTTTGTTAGATCACTCAATGTCTTCCACCCAAATGCTCCACTAGAAGACAAGATAGATTGTAAGTTGAACATTGATCCCTCAACTCTAGGCTGTCCTTGTGTTAGGTAACACATTTGTAATTAGTTATGATATGTTAGTTAGGGAGTCATTAGTAGTTAGTTAAAATAAATTAGTTAGTTAGACTGAATTAGTTAATAGTTACGTAGGCTGAGATTGTAGAAGAAATTAGGCATATGGCCCCTATAAATAAGAGAGAGGCAAAGAGAGAGATCATCGGGTCATTTTTGAAAGGGTTAGGACCTTTAGGCATTGAGAGAGAATAGAATAGAATCTCTTGAATACCCTAAGTTGTAATAGGGAATGATACACATTTTGTTTCTTTTCTTCATCTATTTTCTCTTTTGCTTTCTCTGTTTTGATTCAGTTCTATCACTGGTGCCAAAGCTCTGATCTTGAAGTTGTGGGTATAGATTCTTGAAGATGATTCCACGGTTTGATGGGAAGCAAGTTTATTGGGGGTTGATCAATGTAGAAAGGTATTTTGAGGTGAAAGGAATACTAGAAAGATTTGGTTAGCTATGGAAGGTTCAGAAGTGCTTATATGGTGGTATTGCTGGAAAGCAAGCAATCAAGATGCAACATGGTGGGATTTTGTGAGAGCAATGCTCAAGCAAATTCAGCCTGAATATGACCCAGATCTGCCAATTTGGGTTGAAGATGCAGGTTCTTTGATGCAAGAAAGCGGAAAATTACATGCTTGGAGAACAATGAACCAACAGCTTGGAGCCCAGTAACAAACACTGAAAAAACAACAAATGTCCAAGAAAAAGAACAATAATTGTAGTTGTCAAAATTCTTGGAACTACAGATAAACAAAGAGGAAATTCAAGGGGAACAAGTTCACATTTTGGATCAAGAACCAGAATTGGGAAAGTTCAAAGGATTGGAAAAAGAGGTTGAGACAAAGAGATCAGTGGATACATCTTGGTCTGAAAATATGTTTATCTTGAAGAAGGAAGACCATTGTATGGGATGTGAAGGAAGGAAACAAACAGGGCATTATATGGGTTGTGAAGATAAAGGGATGGATGACAACAACCAAGTTAAAAAAGATTGGGTTATGAGAAGATTGGTCAGGTCACCATCACCATCAGACCGCAATTTGTCTATGACAGCATTGGAAGTCTTAAATAGTTTAGTCAGCCCATTACCACTGGTAAAATTGCCAAAAGAGACTTTGTGTACCACTGGGAGAGGCAGAGCCAAAAAGATGCTAACAACAAAACTAGCAGCAGTCAAAAGCAGCAGTAGTACATGCCATGAAGAAAAAAAGTGCATTTCCCATATTGTGTTAGGACCCAAAATGATTGTTGAGCTCAAAAAGGAAATGTGTTCAGCAATTGTCCCAAGGGTTCAAAGTTTGGAGGGTCTATACTATAAGAAATGAGACGGAGCTGCTAAGGTTGGTGAGCTGGCAGTGTGAGAAAATGTTAGTTGCTGAGGGGTGGAGTGGGGCATGTCCATATAGGTGTTTTTATTAGCTGAGAGAAGGTATCTTGGAGAATCTTTCTGTTAGTATGAATGGAGAGCAATAGCTCTCTGTAGGAGCTTAGCTCTGGGCAGTGATGGTACTGAATTGCTTCTTTCCAATAATACACAAGTTATTTTCTTTGATTTTCTGGTATTGGACTGAGTTCGTATCATATTACAGCTCATGATATGCAATCATGCACAGCAGTGCAGTCAAGGGAATTTGAGGATCTCATTACAACCATTGCAGCTATGATGATGCTCTATTTCATGGCAAAAAAATATGAAGAGCGCTAGAGGATCATGGAAATACTTTATATATTTGTTTTGACGCTGGGAGGAGTGAGCTATTTTTGGGCTGCAGGGTGTAGTTGGCTTGATCACATGCTTCAATTAGTTGGAACCCCAATGGTGCTTTCTTTGCATCTGCCACTACTATTTACCTTGAAGGCAAGGTGAAACTTTTGGGGTGGAGTATTGTTAGGTAACTTCCATTTGTAATTACGTATGATATGTTAGTTAGGGACTCATTATAGTTAGTTACAATATGTTAGTTATACTGAATTAGTTAGTAGTTAGGCAAGTTGAGATCGTAAAAGAAATAAGGCATATTGTTCTTATAAATAAGAGGGAGGCAGAGAGAGAGAGAGATCATCGGGTTATTTGTGAAAGGATGAGAGCCTTTAGGCATTGGGAGAGAATAGGGTCTCAAGAATACTCTGAGTTGTACTAGAGAATAAACTGTTTGTCTCTTTTCTTCATCTATTTTCTATTTTGCTTTCTCTGTTTTGATCCAGGTCTATCATATCATAACTAATTACTAATGGGAGTTACCTAACACTTCAATTCCATAATGCATGATCTGTATTGATAGATCGGGTTTTGGATTGTCTTGTAGTTTCGTTTAGGCTCTATGACTTGGACAATACAGGCTTTATAGAGCGTGAAGAGGTAGGATGGAAATTACTATTTATACTTTTAATTTAATTTTTAAGTGTTCTTAATTATTACCCAGTTTGGAAATCTTATGTCTTAGTAGTTACTACTTTGCCTTTATTTCTGTATGCTTCTTCATTTTTATCTTTTGGGTGATTTCTGACAGGTCAAGTTAATGTTAATTGCACTTCTTTGTGAGTCTGAAATGAAATTGGCGGATGAGACAATAGAAAAAATACTTGATAAGGTAATATATGTCTATAAATATTGTAGATGACATAAAATATGAGACAGGCATACTTCAATAAGAAATTATATCCATAGTATGACAAGTGTTATAGGTTATTGATGTTGTGTTGTTACTTTTCTATCTAATGATAAGTGTAGGACCCTATTTTGGTTCATCAAAGATACAAGAATCATCACTTTAATTCTTGAAATATTTTTATCATTAATTTCATCCTTCAATTATGCAAAATGTTATCAAATTGGTCCTACATTGGAGTGAGATAAATGAATGTAAAGGGGCTAATTTAATTTGATGACAATTTGTATGATTAAGGGACTAAATTGATGACAGTCTGCATTATTAAGAGATTAAATTGATGTAAAAAAATCTTTAGTGGAGGAAAGTGATAACAGTATACGTTATTGATGGATTACACTGATGACAAAGTTATTTCTAAGAACTAAAATAATGATACCTGTATCTTTGGAGGATAAAAAAATGAGTTTAGTCTTATAATTATTTTCACAAAATAAAATGGTGTAAACGTAACATTTTAGTTTGGATTTGACTCATCTAAAATGAAGGATTTACTTTAGTGTGTAAAAGGAAATAATAGTCGTTTATAAAAAAATAAATAAAAAATCATGGGTTTTATAAATACTAGCTCAACGTGATATGTATTTGTTGGAATTTAAACTGTTGGCTTCTCATCAATGGCTATCAATAGTTCACCTTTTTACCTCCAAAGTGAATTTTTTTACTTTCGAAGAGTTAAAATTCTTCTATATTTATGGTCAGACTTTCTTGGATGCTGATCTGAATCAAGACGGGAAAATAGACAAGTTCGAATGGCAAAACTTCGTTTCTAAAAATCCATCATTATTGAAAATCATGACCCTTCCTTATCTGAGGTACGTTTATAATAATTTATACAATTTATTTTATTTTTATGCATTTTTAGTGTAAACTGTTTTATAACCAATCCAATTTTGCGTAGGAACTTCATTTAGGTTCCACATGTTTGAGATTTATTTAAGAAAAAAATTCTTTTAAATAAAAGTTGTTGCATAATAATTACTTATTTTTTTCCCAAAAGGAAAACTTCAATAGAAATTATTTTATTGTTTTTCTCAGAAGTTAAAAATAATAAGTTAAGAAAATCTGAAACAAAACTATATTATAAAACTATTTTTTGAAAAGCTTATATGAACACACCCTTGATGAATTTGACCACGTAAACAATTGAACGAGATCTTAAGCTCAATAACTAATATGTTGTGTCAACACATCATACAAATATAGACCTCTTACTTAGACAGTGCGTGTTTGATACTTACAAAAAGTTGTATAATTTGAATTCAGTTTTTATAATTCTTTTTTGTTAGAATATAGTGCTTATCTTTTCACATTGAGACACTGTTAAGTATCCTCTTTTAGAATGAATAAAAACAATGCTTCAAAAACAGTGGAGATTATATCCTAACAATGTTTTATAGAAACCAAGTCTAAATTATGCAATTTTTTGTAGGAACCAAACACTTAACCAAACTTGAATACTTCAGTTACTTTCTTTAACTATTTGTTAAATAATTGTAAATTTAATGCAGGGACATTACAACAACTTTCCCGAGTTTTGTATTTAATTCCGAGGTGGATGAAATTGTTACATGAGTGCATACAGCTTATGGTTATGGAAGTAGTGGTAAAGTGATAGATGGCTCTTAGCACAACATATTCAGTTTTCATAGGGGTGCCTTGATTATTTATCGTTCTCCTGTGACGTGCCTTGTATTCATGAGTTGCTTTTGCCTCTTGTTCTTTGTTTCCTTTTGTGTTATATTATTCTCACAATAAATTTACATAATTTATTTTTCTTCATCACATCATTCATCTAATCACTTTCTCCTCTCTCTTCTCTTTCTATCTCTCTCTCTTTGTAAAAGCACTTCTTTCGACTGTAGAAATACATTTCTGTTTTTTAACCAAGAGTTGGGTCCCGTATTGAGCTGCATTTTCATGCGAGAATCCAAGTTTAAGGCTGTAAGCAGATGCAACTATTGTAACTTACACCAGTATATCTGAGAAATTAAAATTATAAATTATTAACATACTTTTTTCTAAAAAAAAAGTAAGTGCACATTTATAATTAATGCTTTTAAAATGGATTGGTAATTAAATTGGTGAAAGCAGTAGTTTAAGGTTTAATGATTCAATTGTAATCAAATTAGTATTAATTAAATATATATTAAATAATAATTATTATTATTTAATATCATATTTAAATGAACAAAATTTCCCAAACACCAAAAAAATAAAATGAACAATATTTATGTGCAATATCGTAGGTATTGTTCTCTAATCAGAGTTAAGAGTTTCACCTCATACATGTGTATCGATTTTTAATGCTGGTGTGTTGAATTTTAATGTTTACTCTTACAATGTAAATTATGAAATGAAATTTTGACACTAATTGAAGAACAATATTAACAGTACTTATAGATCGCATCTATGTTTTGTTCTTAATGAATTTATGTTAAATATGATTTTATAATCTCATAAAATAAAATAAAATTTAATTTAATTTAAAATTAAATATTTTAAGTATAATAAAAAATAAATTTCTGATGTGTATATGGCTTTATAAATCTATAATTTCATATATATATAATTTTATTGTTGAAATAATATAATAATATAATATTATTCTTCTACTAACTTTCCATTTTATGGGTGCAGAATAATAGAAAAATTATTTTTTTATGTTATAATATGCACGTAATAAAGCATACAATGAAATGGTTGTGTTGCTACAAGTTCATGACATGGATTTGAGCGCAATAACATAATAAAGTTCAAATAATATTTAATGCTAAACTTAGTAAAGACTTTTTTTTAACATTATTGTTAAATTTATAGTTCTCATAAAGAAAACTAAGATTACAAATTTTCACATAAATTTTTTAATAATTCTTTCATTAAAACTATTTTTTTTAACCTTATTGTTAAATTTATAATTCTCATGGAGAAAATAAAGATTACAAACTTTCACATAATTCAAAAATAAATCAATTTTTTTTCTCAATTTTATCTTAACATTCGATATGTTATATAAAATAGAAGTAAATTGTATAAAATTTTATACATTATGGGGTATATTTAGTTTTTAGTTAAATTTAGGCATATGTGTATTTAAAAATGAAATGCTACATTCAAGAAACTTAAAAATATGCACGTCCAATGCTTGGGCAAGTGAAAAAAGACATACCAATAATCATTACATGGGAATTTGGTGTGAATGACTAAGCACCTTTATCTTATAATAAATCAAACAAACATTTACATGTGTAAATTATAAGATTTAACAAATATTTTTACACTAATAATGAAGTGATTTAAAATTTTAAAAATAATGTTTAGTGATACGATCTAAGAAGGTATTCATGAAGTTCTTCAAAATTTAGAAGGAAAGCCAAAGAACACTATGGAACCAAAAGCTTCAACTCATGAAACATTCAAAGAATTGTAATGACCTATGACTAGATCAAGAATTAAAAGAACTAAGGAAGCTTTGGATCATTTAGTAACTTACACATTCAGATAAGTAGAGTGTGCCTTAAAGGATGAGGAGACTAGAGGCTAATTCAAATTGTGTTTAATAGGGAAGATTCTTAATACACTTAATTACCTAGGCTCTTTGTAACAAGTGCTTTTATACTCTTTATATTAGACTAAATACTTCTATTTTTAGGTGTTGAACTGCATGTATAGTTGTTTCTTCACTTTCAAGTCCAAATTAGAGCCAAAGTTAGTTAGTTTAATTGTAATTGGACCAAAGTTTGTTAGGATATGCGCAAATTCAAATTAGCCTATTTGCAAGTGGATTTCAAATTAGCATATATATATATATAAAGAGAGACAACATGTTTTGTATTTATTTTTGACAATATTAGTCATTTGAAGTAGTAAATAAAACTTTTTCTATATTGCTTAAGGTTGTGTTGAATTCATATGTAATAGGTTGTGGATCCAATTATTATTATTTTTTTCTTTTGAGATTGTGTATAGTTTTAATGCACTTCACTCCTTTGAATTTCTTCCTTTTACCTAATGATTTTAAAGTAGTGCGTAAAGATGGTAATGTAAAGGCAAAATATGTAAAGAAACTATACTCACGAGTGAAAGCTCATAATGAAAAGAAGCTAAAACACTATGTTAGGCAAAGCTAATAAAAAAAGAAGAAGAAATAAATGATATTTGAACTGCGTAACTGAGTTAAGATTTATTTGCGAAAGAAAAGATTTCTTACACAAAGGAATCCAAGTTGTAACCCTGTGAAGATGTCCTTTTTCAAGCTCTAGAAAGAATTAGTTAAGTTTTATATATATATATATATTAAGTGCTTTTATACTATTTGTATTAGATGAAATGTAGCATCCTTAGTTTTTCTCCCTCTCAATTTTTCTTGTTTGTCTTAAAACTTTGAAATTGTAATTTACTTTTGAAACTTTATAAAATACACTATAAATTATGTGAAAAGGATATGTAGATTCATTTGCAACATCCTCTGAAGAATTTATAAAAATTCTTATGGTTTGTGTTGCTTTTTTATCATCTAAGTTCATTGCAAAACATTCTCTGTAATTTGGTTTGATTGCTACTTGAATTAATCCTAAATGAATGAAATAGTATCCATCTTGTACATGTTTTTCTATTAGTTCATTTTCTAAAAGTTGTATTTCTTTATTATTTGTGATTTTTGGTTGAGTATTTGTTCTTCTTGTTTTAATTCTCAAAAATAGATCTTGACTTATATATTTTTAAAATTTTTATTTTAGATATGAATTAATTATATAAAGACCTTTCTATTTGTCCTATTGAAATGTTTTGTCTAGATGAAGATGAACTTAATTCCTTTTTGTGTTTTAATTTCTACTTTTTTTTTACAATTTCCTATAATAAACTTAAAACTTTTAACTATTAATGATATATTAATATTAATTTTCTTATTAACATATTAAGCTATGAGACTATTTTATTTAATCAATGAGTTTATTACCTCAATAAGACTTTATTATTGAAATTACTATTTAAGCTGACCAACATATTTATAACTCACACATTTACTAAAATAACAATAACATAATATTAAAATAAATATTATTAAAATTATTATAAAATAATAAAATTAAAACTATTATTTATTTTAATATACATAATATGGTAATGCTTATTTCAATATTATGTTATTGTTGTTATAATAAAATATTATATTTTTATAATTACTATTATATGTTTTTAATTATTTTTTATATAAAATATTTTATTGAAGTTATTTTAAATATTTATATAAACTATTTGATAAATGTTTACAGATATATAAATATATACATACAAATATTCTAGATTTTATAGAATGAAAAATTAATTATTGAATCCTCTTATATTAATTTTATGATTATATATATATATATATATATATATATATATATATTAAATTTTATATAATTTAAATATTTCTAAAATACATTACACAGTAAAATAAAATAATATAATAAATACTAATTTATTTAATTTTCTTATAAAGTTAATAATAACTTTTAAGTTAATATTAAGAATAGCCTTTAAACCAAGTGTAAGTGCCAAATAATTCTGTAGATGCGAAGGGTAATAAATACTAGCTATTGTGAGCTGCACTATACAGAATTAGAAAGAGGGGAACAAGGTGGTCGTGTCGGCTTCAACCAAACACGACCTTATCGGCGATCCAACATCGATCTGTGCGTGTTTTTCAGTTCCTAAACACTATCCACTTACTTCTGCAATTCTTGCTCTGTTTGCTTGATTGGATCCACCCACTGCACTCTTCACGCAAGCACACGCGATTTTCATTCTCTCTGTAGTTAGGGCACACAATCAATCACAACAAGCCTTTTCTGTTAATTTGTTTATTCGTGTAATTAATGGGTTGGTAATCAAACTAATGTTATGCTATTGTTTTCTGCCCTCCACAGCAGAATTCTCTGCACTCTTCAGCATGGCTTCCGCCGCCGCAGCAGGTTCCATTCTATTCTTTCACTTCGCTATTTCTGTTACTGATTCTTTCTTCCTTCCTAAAGTAAATTACCTCATAACGCTTACTATTCTTATTCAAATTTGATGGAACACGTGACTATTTAGAATGACTTACTCTGTTTGGTTGCTTCCTTTCCTTATCATTCACATTGAATGCGAATGCTGCTTACTTTCTCTTCTCATAAATTATGATTTACGACTTGCTTTAACTAATCCCTCCTCTCGTTGCTAGTGTCTGTTGGATTTGACATGCATATATGGCGTGTCATAAATAAATATCAATCGCATTCCACTAGTGTCAGCTGCCATATTATAGGACTTGGCTCACTTAGTCAGCCTATCGCAGCTGCATAGCTTGGGATCTTATGCACTCCCTTATTGTGAGTTGTGGTTTGCCTTAGCTCTGTAATGAACAGAGTCTGCCTTCCCCCTTAACTTTTTTCTCATTAGTAAAGAATGCCAACACCTAAGTGTATGCATTATTGGGAAAAGATTAACTTTAAATTTGAACTTCGGAGGCAGACGTTGTAATTAAAGGGTTTCTGCGTGACAAGCAAGACAAAGTATGTGTATTACAATTTAGCAAAAATTGAAATGAAAATGATTTGGATTTTAAAATTACAAATGATTTCATACTACAAGTTTCTAACTTTAAGTATTTGAGATCTATTTTACGGAATGATGGTGAAATTAATGAAAATATTATATATCTAATACAATCTGGGTGGTTAAAATAGAAAAATGTATCAGAAGTTATTTGTGACTACAAAATACTAACCAGGCTTAAAGGAATGTTTTGTCAAATTGCAATACGACTAATGATCCTCTATGGTGTTGAATGTGGAGTTTTGAAGGGACTACATGAGTAAAACATTTGAAAGTAATAAAAACGAGAATATTAAGAGGGATGCGAGAAAAACCAAAATAAATTATGTGACAGAGACTTAAGACAGAACGAGAAAGAATCTTCTTTATTTGAAGAAGAATTGTTGTACACTCTCAATGGGGGGTCTTGGAGCTAGGCTCCTAAGAGAATACTCTCTGCCTAAAACAAATGAACAATCTACCCATATCCCTCTCCCTTCTTCTAACCATTATTTATATTACATGTTAGGCACTAATCTTTAACAAACTAACAACTGGTCCTATATTCCAATAGGACCCTTATTCTTCCTTTTTCTATATTAAACCACCCAACCACTAGGCTTGGTACTTGGACCTAGACCTGCAACTAAGGGATTACAGATACTCTGGACCCTATCATTTCCACCATCTGCAACAACAGCCTTGTCTTCAAGGCTGAAAAGAGGAAACTGGCTCCTCAACATAGATTCATCTTCCCATGTTGTATCTTCAGCAGTGTGGTGCTTCCACTTGATTAGCCATTGTTTAATTCACTCACCATTCTTTATAATTTCTCTGCTAGCAAGCGATTCTTCTGGTTCAACAGTGTCATCCATTTCCACTTCTAATCCCTTGGGTAAATCAACCCATAGCCCGCTTAAGTTGAGACACGTGGAATACAGGATGAACCCGAGAAGTAGGAGGAATGTCCAACTTGTAAGTAACTTCACACAACCTTTCCCTGACTAGAAAAGGCCTGAAATACTAAGCACCCAGTTTCAGATTGATGCACCTTGCAACCAATTGTTGCCTATGAGGCCTCAATTTCAAAAATAATGAATCACCAACTTGAAAACAATATTGCACGTCTTCTCTTGTTGGCAAATTTCTTTTTCTCTATTGCTGGGCCCTGGTGAGGTTATACTTGAGTTGTCGAAGAGCCTTATCTTTTTCTTCCAAGTCTCTCTCTAGCCATTGCTTCAACCTTGGTTTCTCTCGGCAAAAATGAATAACAGTAGGAGGAGGTCTCCCATAGACAATCTTGAAAGGTGTAACTCCTGTAGAGCTGAGAAAAGATGTGTTATACTACCACTCAGCCCAAGGAACCCAAGAAGACCACGTTTTTGGTTGCTCCGAAGCAAAGCAATGCAAATAGGTTTCTAAGAACCAATTAAGAACTTCTGTCTGGCCATCCGTTTCTGCATGATGAGAGGAACTCATCTTTAAAGTTGTTCCTTGCAATCTGAATAGTTCTCGCCAAAAAGAGCTAATAAAGAGAGGGTCCTGATCATTGACAATGGAACTAGGAATACCATGAAGCCTTACTATAGCAAACAACTCAGCCACGCTCCAAGCTATAGGATAAAATGTCCATATATTGAAAGTCTGTCAACAACCTCTAAAACTGCTTCAAACCCCTTAAATTGAGGCAACCTCGTAATAAAATCTAAGGAGATGTCTTCCCAAATTTGGTTTGGAATGGGAAGGGGTTGAATAAATCCTCCAAGTGCTACGACTACATATTTCTAATGTTGACATACATCACACTCATGAATGAATTCTTGAATCTGCCTTTTCATTCCAACCCAATACAAATTTTTGGTCATGCATTTATAAGCCTTTAGATAACTGGAATGACCACCCTTTGTAGAAGAATGAAATTCCTGCAGAAGTTTCAGAATAAAAAAGGAGTCAGTAGGAATAACAACGAGGCTCCTATGAAGCAAAGTTCCATTAACCAAGCTGTAAAGAGGCTTCCTGAGAACATTGATTGCTAATTTTGCTTTAATTTTCTGAATAAAAGGGTCCTGGGCATTTCCTCTTGAAGATTAACTCCTTGCACCCAAGTAGGAACAAAGACAATAGACTGCAATTCAACTTCTTCGCTACTGCTTTATTATCAGCTCCTAGTTTATAAACTATATCAAATTGATATCCCAACAATTTAAAGAGCCAACACTGTCAGGCAGCAGCGGTGATCTTTTGATGCAAAAGGTTTCTCAAACATCTCTCATTTGAATAGACAGTAAATCCCCTTCCTATCAAATAGTGGCGCCAATGTTGGATGACTAGTACTAGGCCATGAGCTCCTTTTCATAATCTCAAATGGGCTGGAAAAATTAGGCAATGCAAGAACTGGAGAAGTCATTGCTTGCTTTAGTTTTGAAAAATCCTTTTCAGCTAATGGTGTCAACACAAAAGAATCCTTCTTGTTAATTCAGTTAGAGGTTTGGCTATTTTACCATAGTCAACTATAAACTTCCTATAGTATCCCATCAACCCCAAAAAGCCTCTTGCTCCCTTTATATTCCTTGGTGTTGTCCATTGTTAAACTCTATTAACCTTCTCTAGGTCCTAAATATAATGTGGCCAAGATACTCAATTTGTTTCTTGCCAAAACTGCATTTCTTCGCATTAACCACAAATTGATCTGTTTTCAGTACCTCCAACACTTGTGATAAATGAAACAGGTGTTGAGACCAATCCACACTATAGACAAATATATCATCAAAGAAAACTAATGCAAACCAACGAAGAAATGGTTTAAAAACTTGGTTCATGGTGGATTGAAAAGTGATCGGTGCATTCATCAACCCAGAAGACATAACAAGATACTTGTAATGTCCCTCATGTGTTTTAAAAGCAGTCTTCTCAATGTCCTGCAAATCGACGAAGAAATGGTTTAAAAACTTGGTTAATGGTGGATTGAAAAGTGATCGGTGCATCCATCAACCCAAAAGACATAACAAGATACTCATAATGTCCCTCATGCGTTTTAAAAGCAGTCTTCTCAATGTCCTCCTCCTTGATCCGAACTTGAGGGTAACTAGACTGCAAATCCAACTTAGAAAAATAGGTCTTATCATGCAATTCATTCATAAGTTCATCAACTACTGGTATAAGAAACTTATTAGGTACAGTAACCTTGTTAAGTTCGTTATAATCAACGCATATTCTCCATGACGAGTCTTTTTTTCTTACTAGAATAACAGGGTTGGAGTAAGGGCTAGTACCAAGGCGGATAACTCCTGATTTTAACATTTCCTTAACTTGTCTCACAATTTCATCTTTATGGTGATGCAGATAGCGATATGGGTGCATGTTGATAGGACTAGTACCTGGATACAGATTAATAGAATGCTCAATGCTTCTAGGAGGGATACCCCTAAGTTCACCAAAAATTTCAGGGAATTTGGACAGCAATACTTGCAATTCTGTTTTGTGCGCAGCAAATAGGTCCCATGCCTTCTGATAAGAGTTCCCAAGCCCCTTTTGCCACTATATGCCATTAACCTCACATGATTTTCCTGTTAGAAGCTCATTAGAAGTAGTAGAATGTGAGATTCCATCCCTTGTACCAGCTCCAACATTCCCTCATAACCCTGCAACTCTATTACTTCTCCCTTCTTCTTAAGGGTCATAGTCATTTCTTTCCAATCAACCAATACTTTTTCCAAGGTTTACAGCCAAGCCACTCCTAGAATGATGTTTAGTCCCCGCAGATACAACAAAATGCGTCTACCTTAACTTTCCTCACCCCAAGATCAAGCTGAAGGTTTTGCATTTTCCTTTAGTTTTCACCTTATGTCCATCTCCTAGTCTTACACCCAGACCCTATATCCTCCTCAACAACAATTCCCAGAGCTTTCACGACCTTTAGGAAAAATGAAATTGTGGCTTGCTTCACTATTAACCAGCAACACCACTAGAACACCATGTAGCTTCCCTTCCAACCTCATAGTTGAAATTAAGGAAAAAAAAATTCCTAGACATACCTAACAACCCCATAGATTTGCAATTCAAGTGTTCTTCCTCTTCATCATCTTCTGCCTCCAACCGCACAATTCTCCATTCCCATCCCTGGCTTCATCTTCCCCAAGAACTACCAATCGTAACTAGCGCTCTTAACGAATAGCACAACGGTGGACAAAGTGAAACTTCTCCCCACATCTGAAACAAACCCTTCGATCTAGCAATTCCTGATTTGACAAATGTTGAAAAGCCATGTCTTTGCTCATATTTTTATCAATTCTTTTTTGTGTTTGGAATTGAAGATCCCACCGAAGAGAATGACCCCTTGCTCGCTGTCGATGGCGCTCCATTACCATTAGGAAAAGCTATCAAATGCAATGCATTCTATTGGAGACCATTCTACTTCTACAAAATGTTCTCCCTAAATCCTCTCATTATCCTTGAATTGTTCCACATGCAATCTTGACCTACAGGAGCCTCAACAACCCCTGTTAGCTCTACTTCAACACAGTGCGCCAACCACATGGCCTCTAGGGCGATGTGTTGGTACCCTTAGCATAATTTAATCTTTTCAATCCTTTAATGAAAAAACTCAAATAATGATTCTCAAGCAAATGTCCCACTTGAGAAGTCAAAAATTCAAACTCTGCGATGAACTCTTCCTCAAAACTTGCTTGTTTTAGATCAACAAGTTCTTCAAAAGGATCCTCTTCAAAAGGATCCTGCAATCTTCTGCCTCCATAGTGATGTACTAATGCCTTGTTGAATGAATCCCAAGAAAGCGACTCCTCTAAATCGAACCAAGATTGGAACCAATGAATGGTTCCTCCCCCCATACTCAGCCTTGCAATCTTCAACCTGACCTCTGTCGAAGTTCCTTGTATGTCGAAATGAATTTCTACCCTTGTGATCCATCCCATTGGATCGATGCCAACAAACACTGACAACTCTACTCTTTTAGCAGCCAATCAAAATTCTTCCAACATTCCAGAACCCAGCAAGGATTCCACTCCAATACCCATATTAGTGATTTGATCAGTCAATCGCCCCAATTGAGCAAGAATGGAATTCAATGTACTCTCCATCGTCCTCATATGACAGGTCTAGAGTATCCGCTGATTTTCATCCATCTTCTTGCGTGGCATTAATTGGTTCCTCCTCATGAAAACTCTTCAACCGCTCTCCTCCTTTTGGATCCGACAGGTTGGACCAGTGATAGAGATTCAAGAGGGAATGAGAAATAATTTGTTTTATTTGAAGAATTGTTTTGTACACTCTTAATGGTGTTCCAGAGCTAGGCTCCTTAGAGAAGACTCTATGCCAAAAACAAATGAACAATCTACACATATCCCTCTGTCTTCTTCTAACCATTATTTATAGTACATGTTAAGCACCAATCTTTAACAAACTAACAACTAGTCCTATATTCCAATAGGACCCTTATTCTTCCTCTTTCTATAATGAACCACCCAACCATTAGGACTTAGACCTGGACACGCAACTAAGGGATACCGGATACTCTAGACCCTATCAATATGTTTATATTTGCGAAATTAGAAGAGCTCCTATTGCGAAGTATGGGACAAATTGATTAAAGTGGTTTATGTATGTGCAAGGCACACCATTAGAAGCACCAGTGACGAGGATTGATTGTATCGTTTTTAGGCTCGTGAAAAAGTATGTAGGGAGACCAAAAAGAACCTTGAAGGAAATTATTGAAAGAGATTTCATGATAAATAATATCTCTAAAAAACTAGTTTTGACCAAGTTAAATGAAATCAAAGGATTTATGTAACTGGCTTCATATAGTGGGATAAGACTGTTATTTTGTTGTGACCGACACCTAGAGGTACATCTCGAATTAAATGATATCATCTCATAAAATATAATTGTAGCCATTCTTTTTCTCTAAATTTCTAAAGCATATAAGCCCTTTCATTGATTATTTAGTTTGTATTTCTCTATATTTTTGTTTCTTCATTAGTGTCATCCATGACCTATTCATGTGTTATGTTTTGTTTTATAGGTGCAACCAATGATGCTTTATACAAGGAATTGTGGCATGCTTGTGCTGGACCCCTTGTCACTCTTCCTCGTGAAGGGGAGAGAGTTTATTACTTCCCACAAGGTCATATGGAACAGGTGCAAGTTGCATGGGCATGGGCTCTTAATTTCTAATTTTAATTTCAGGGAGATGCTTGTGCTGATATTTTCTTATCGTGCACCAGGCCATGTTTTGGATGTTGTAGCTTAATTGTTCTGTTTCCAATGATTTAAGATCTTACTGATGTTGGCATGGGTTCTTCTGATGTTTTCTCATATAACATTTTTATCTGGAAAATATTTGTTTATTGTAGGACATGTCTTTGTTTATACATGTTGGTTATTGAGTTTTAAAACTCCACAGGTTATGCCTAGTCACATTTCTTTTTGCATGCATCCTCTAAGTTTCATAGTCTATTGAATTGTTTATGCATACACTTTTGGTTATCACCTTGGCATCTATCTGTTTCTTTCATGATAATATTTCCAATTATGAACTAACTTTGGTCCATAATTCCTGATATTTTTATTTTGAGTACAATATGTTTTTTGTTGTAGTGTAAAGTTTTGGTTTTGTTTTATCTGACTTTTATATATATATATATATAGCTTGAGGCATCTATGAATCAGGGATTGGAGCAGCAAATGCCTTCCTTTAATCTGCCTTCTAAAATATTATGTAAAGTGGTCAATGTTCACCTTCGAGTGAGTCATGATTTTTCTTCACCTTGTTACTGGCTAGTTTTGGTTTTATGTTGAAATTTAGTGTGCTTTACTACAATCATCATTTTTTAGTTGAATTCATCTTGGTTGTGTAGGCTGAACCTGAGACAGATGAAGTATATGCACAAATAACTTTGCTTCCTGAAGCAGATGTGAGTGCACTTTTATACTTTGTTTGACATGGTTGTTATTTTTAAACATTCTGTACTTTTTTATCATCTCTCAGCTCATCTCCCAGTTACATCTGTTTCCTGTGTGGTTTCTCTTTCTTGGTCTCATTTTATGTACTTTTTATTTGTGTCTTGCTGGTTTAGCAAAGTGAGGTTACTAGCCTTGATGAGGCATTGCCCGAACCTCCAAGGTGTACAGTACATTCATTTTGCAAGACACTCACTGCTTCTGACACTAGCACTCATGGAGGTTTCTCTGTTCTTCGAAGACATGCAGATGATTGTCTGCCACCTCTGGTTAGTAATTCTTTTTCTTTTCTAAAGTCATTAGACACACTTGATCATGCTCATCTTTATTTGTCCTTTACTTTTGTAATCCCATGTTTTGTTCAGGATATGACTCAGCAGCCACCATGGCAAGAATTGGTTGCAACTGATTTGCATGGGAATGAATGGCATTTTCGACATATTTTTCGAGGTAAATAGCTTGCAAGCTTGGCTTCCCCTCAATTTTGGACCTTCTGCTATCATGTGAACACAATCTGATCATTTATTTCTCTGAAGTTTTTGCTTGCTGAAAAAAATTGTACCTGAGAAGATTTTGCAACAGTTTAGTTGGTTATGATATCAATCTTTTATGTAATCTGTAGATATGTTTCACATTTCTAGTTAACCTATAGCTACATAACTTTTTCTTACTAAGAAAAATAGAACTAACCTCAGGTTTAAATTTGTTGGTGTATAGTTTACTTTGCTGTTATAAACTTTTCATCACATGGCCTGTTAAATTCTGGGGTTGAGTGAATTTTACTCATCAGTTGCTTCTTCAGGAAAGGTTCTGTTCGGTAAATCCTGACTGCATTTGTAAATTTGTGGTTCCCCACAGACACTACTATTATGTTAACTTCTAGATTGAGATGTGATCTGAGATTAGATTTTGATGTTCATACTGTCAGTAATTTTCTGACTAGAGAGTAATATGCAGGGCAACCCAGGCGCCACTTACTGACCACTGGGTGGAGTGTCTTTGTCAGTTCCAAAAAATTAGTGGCTGGTGATGCATTTATATTCTTAAGGCAAGTTGTTTAGTTGAAATACGGTACCTTCCTCCAGGGCAAGACAAAATACTTTGGAATTTTTTCATTGCTTGTGTTTCTTAATTTGTTATTGATTGTAGTTGGTTTTTCTTGCATGCAATATTCTAGAGGTGAAAATGGAGAGCTGCGAGTTGGTGTTAGGAGGCTCATGAGACAGCAAAGCAATATGCCATCTTCTGTTATATCCAGTCACAGTATGCATCTTGGTGTTCTGGCCACTGCGTCTCATGCCATTGCCACTGGAACTTTGTTTTCTGTATTTTACAAACCCAGGTCTTGTATTGAACGCTATTTAGTTATTAGTTATGTCATATTAATGTTATTAGTTCACAAGGTTGGCACTCAACTTGTCATATTTTGCTAGCATTCATGATGCCTTGAACAATTGTAGAATCATGTTTTGTTTCTGTTTGTACGTGTGCTGCTTGATTTTGTTCAGTTAATGAACTAATTTCTTTATGGGTTAAAGAATTTGATTGGGATGATATTTGAGTTTGCATTTGTTGCTTTTCTTAGTGGAGACTTTCTGCTGACTTTTAAATATTTATCTTAGAACAAGCCGGTCTGAGTTTATTGTGAGTGTCAACAAGTATCTTGAAGCTCGAAGTCATAAACTCTCTGTTGGGATGAGATTCAAAATGAGATTTGAGGGTGATGAAGTTCCGGAAAGAAGGTGCAAGAGCTGTTTTCTTGAAAATTTATATTTTGATTTTAGTACATTGTGCAATCTGATAAATGGTCCTCTCCCTGAATACAGGTTCAGTGGTACAATTGTGGGTGTTGGAGATAATAAATCATCAGTCTGGGCTGATTCTGAGTGGCGATCGCTGAAGGTTAGTATGGTTTTAGTTAGACATCCCTTGTTTACTTTTTGTTGTTCACATTTGGTTGAATTCAATATCTTTTTTTATAAATTTTCCGCATGTTCACTTTATTTTTTGTAAAATCTATCAATTGAAAGAGGTTATTCTTGAATCTCTCTGAATTGATAAAAAAAGGGCCAACTATTGATGATGCTTTGTATATGGAACAATTTAGTAAATGATTGTCCCACCAATCCTTTTTATAAGAACTAAATAACTAATTCATCAAGACAAATCAAAAGAAGTTATATATCATAAATTTTTATTGAACCTCAAAATTGTCCATAGCAATAAATGGTCAAGTTAGTAACTCATACATTAAATGAATGAAAATATCACTTATATGGGTAATGGGGAGAGTGCCTTGTTAACCCAAATCTCACAATAAATAATGGTATGAAAAAAATTTAACAATTAATGCATTTGAAATGGATATTTATTTATTATAATTAGGAGAAAAAATAGTAATATTGTTTCTTATAAAAAGGATTGGAGTATTCTCTTAGATGGTTAGACATCTGGCAAGGGAGACATTAACTGGCCTATAAGGAGAGATGTTATAAAAAGTGAATTTATCTGCCAGAAAATGACAAAAGATTGTGTGCATGAGTTCAAAAGTCAGCATGCTGACCCGTCAAATTAAATTGCTAATATTTGAATTTCAAATAGGAGTTTTTTGTTCATTAGTCCTATGATCTATAATGTATTTCAGGTTCAATGGGATGAACCCTCATCAATTTTGCGTCCTGATCGAGTTTCGCCATGGGAATTGGAGCCACTTATGTCTACCCCCCCTACAAACTCCCAGCCATCCCAAAGAAACAAGAGACCACGGCCTCCTGTTCTACCTTCAGCAATGCCTGATTCATCTCTGCAAGGTAGCTTGACCATATGTAATTTCCTAATGCAATTCTATTAATTTCTGTATGCAATTCTGTCATCCATACAGCTTTTATCCATGATTTCCTTTTGTATGTGCATCAGGAGTATGGAAATCACCAGTTTATCGTGACCCTCAACATGGGCAAGATCTCTATCCATCATCTAAATTCAATTCTACTGCAACTAGCTTTCTTGGTTTTGGTGGGAATTGCTCTGCTTCCAACATGTCAACATATTGGTCTAGTGCGATGGAAAAAACGACAGAATCTTTTTCACCTGTAGCAATTAAAGAATCTGGAGAAAAGAGACAGGGCACAGGAAATGGCTGTAGGCTCTTTGGGATTCAGCTACTTGAGAATTCTAGTGCAGAGGAAACTCTACCAACATTCGCTTTGTCAGGAAGGGTGGGTGATGATAGGTCCCTTCCATCATTGGATGCTGAGTCTGACCAGCTTTCTGAACCATCAAATGTTAATCGATCTGATATCCCTTCAGTAAGCTGTGATGCTGAAAAATCATGCCTGCGGTCTCCCCAGGAGTCACAGAGCAGGCACATAAGAAGCTGCACAAAGGTAGTATATCTGTTTTTAATGTTTGTGAAATACATTATGCCTCCCCTCCCCCATTTTAATTTACAATTCTGCAACATTCTTGGCATATTTTTCTTATGCACTGCCACTAATTTTAGTTGATTGTATGACAGTTTGTATTACATTTTCAGTTCTTTACTTCACAGATTTGGGTGATGATGTTTAGCTCTTGATAATATATCTTTTCAATCTATCTGCATTATTGACAGCATCTGATACACTATCAGTAAACATAATTTAAATAATGGATACTTAAATCTCCTTTATTTTATTTTTTTTCCACACTGATACACGATAGAATTTCGTCCAGAATCTTTATCAAATGAGATTGTCTGGAAAAAAAATCTTTCAAATAACAGAATCCTTATATCTCCGTTAGCCATAATATTCTCTTAGCAACGTAGTCATAAAAGCTATATAGTGAGGATTAAAAGGCTTCTCTCGTTTGGGTTTTTTGAAATAAATTTTATTCTGCTTGATTTTCTTGGACTGAAAAGAGGTTTAGCATTCTCTATTTTATGAAACGGAAATATCTGCTTATTTATGATACTAGTTTATATTATTCCAGGTTCACATGCAAGGTATGGCTGTTGGAAGGGCTGTGGATTTAACACGATTTGATGGATATGAGGATCTGCTTAGGAAATTGGAAGAGATGTTTGACATCAAGGGCGAGCTCTGTGGATCCACTAAAAAATGGCAGGTTGTGTACACTGATAATGAAGATGATATGATGATGGTTGGAGATGATCCATGGCTGTAAGATTATTTTAACACTACCATATATTTACTTGGGCACTTTTATTTGTGGCAAAATGTTTTGCAATTTTGTATGTGTACATTAAATTCTGCCTTGCTATTTTCTGCAGTGAATTTTGTAGCGTTGTGAGGAAAATTTTCATCTACACTACTGAGGAGGTGAAGAAGCTTTCTCCCAAAATAGGGCTTCCAATCAATGATGAAGTTAAACCTAGCAAAATGGATTCTGATGCAGTAGTCAATCCTGAGGACCAGTCATCTATTGTTGGGCCTGGTTGCTAATGCTCCTAGGTCATCCTAGGTTATATGCAATAGATATTGGCATGAAAGTACGAAATAGAACGGGAGAGAAACAAGCATGAACCTGGCAAGCACTATATGGTCTATAGGAACATATCATTGGCATATTCTGCATCTATACCAGAGCAGCATGCAGCATTAAAGCAGATGATTGGTTTGATATAATGCTGTTTGATCTACCTTGAAAGAAAGGTTTGGGGTTGTGTGCTTTTTCTGTTTCTTCCATAGCTTCGTTTTCGCCAACAGTCTCGAAGGCCCTTGCCTGTTCAGTTTTGTATGGGCTGCAAGCGTGAAGAAATGCCTTTTGGTTACTTATTTTACTACCTATGCATTTTTTTGGTTTTGTAATTCACTTGATGTGATGCATCTCATTTCTGTATATATAACTTTGTAGTCTTTGAATACTATTTAATGTATGTATATCGAGCAATTTTTTGTTCTCTAGCAGAGCTGTACACAATCTGATCTGAATTTTTACATTAACTAGTGAATTCTATTAGACACTGCACACGTATTATTAAATTAAAATAAAAAATATAATATATATTTTATATTAAATAACTTCATAAATTTTACAATGGATAAGTATTGTAATTATTAATAATAAATCTTTTATTATATTAAATAAGATTAAATTAAATTAAATAGGTAAACTTTTTATAATTAAATTACAAAAATCAAAAGTGAAAATTAAGTTAAAAATATTTCACTTAGAAAAAGCTAATTGATAATAAAATAATAATTTTTAAAAATGTGTTTTTTTTATTAAAATGGCTTTTAAAAATATTAAGAATTAAGACTAACAAATATTTTAGATATAAATAATTTCACCTGTTGGGTAGTTTTATCTTGTTAATGGGTCGATTGAGCAGGTTCATTTAAATTAATGTCATAAAACATTAGACTATCTGATTAGATAATTGATTAATGGTGGTGGGTTCTCGTGCTTATGACTACTTAGTGTTAAATGGCGAAAAATCTCTATTCCTGTTCAAGTCATGTATCTTGCAACAAATGGTATTTTTTTTTTTGTTTTAATATTTTCACATTTATATTTATTATATTATACACTAGATAAAGTTTTGTTACATTAAATAATATAATTTCTAATAAAAATTTATATATAAAATTTTTATTTATATCTTTAGGTACACAGTAAAAAAATAAATTGAGTAATTTAATAAAGACAACTCCAGATTTCACTGGTACGAGCCCTCAAAAATCTAGCTTAAGACATATCATCGTGCCTTTTATGGCTTTAAAGGAAACTTTAGGAGATGAGTGAATCAAGTTTTTAAATATTTTAAATATTCAAATATATGTCTTACTTAAATTAGGTCTAAAATTTTGTCTAAGCTTAATATTAAAGCTTTATTTATGAAATCAAACCTTAATTTTTTATATTTAATAGACTTTTGAGGCAATTTATTTAGCCCATTCCTAACTCAAGCTGGAATAAAAAAGATGAATGTTTGACTAAGACGAGGGAAATCATTACAGTAAATGAGAATCCATTTACTTGATGAGATGTCCATGTAGCTTGAGCTATAAGATCTAGAAAAGTAGAGGATAGATAACGGTCAAATATTCAAATTCTAAGGAAAATGTCTACTAAGCGCGCTCCTCCTATTAACGGTATATCTCTTTTCAAAGACTTGTAAATGCATATTTGACATTCACATATATATGCAACAACGGCTTAAGCCATGCCATATCTTCTATCATTTGAAACCTCATGAAAAACGTAATCAAAGCTGTGAAGAAACTCAAGTTATGGCCCAAAAAGAAAAAGAAGAAAAAGACCCTTGAGCATCCTCCTCACCGTTGCTGCTCTTGCTCTCCATCTACTGCTCAGCCCTCAGCTCCACCTTTACCTTCATCTTCATGGCTTGAAGCTGAAAACAATTATGGGACATTCTTGCCATCCCGGGAAGTGACTGAACCACAAGATATTGCTACATACTCCAACCCTGTTAGCCGCAGCTCAAATTCATCATATCAGCAATATATGGTATCAGTTTCAGAACCTGTTTATGGCATTCCAGTCCCGGTTATTCAGACAAGTAGAAGACAGAGATCAACTGGCCAATTTGGATGTGTTTTCAGTTTTGGTTCTTATTTGTTTCGCTGCTTATGTCCATGTTTTCACATTCGCGAAGTAGTTTGATTTGATTCAATTACCCTTTTCGTGACTCATCTTCTCCCCATTTATTCTCTCTCTCCTCTCTAATATTTTTATGTACCTCCGAAAATTTTAGCTTCTTTATGTGTTCGGAGTAAAAATATAGAAATTCGAACTAGTGTAAAGTTAAAGGATGTAATAGTTATATTACAATGTTCCATCCTCCAGTTGTAGAACATCGAAACTCAAATGCAGGTGGGTTCGTTTCACTCGTTGGATTGATCTTTTTCATTTTAAGTAAAGCCTGGTTCTAAAGTTTGCTTAATTTCAATAAATCAAGTTTATTTTGATTGGCTTGTTAAAACTGATATGTTGGATATTTGGTCAAACAAGCTTTAATTAGATTTACCGGAATTCATGTGTATTGCTTTAGTTTCTGCTTTAATTTAAATAAATCAAGTTTATTTTGATTGGCTTGTTAAAACTGATATGTGGGATATTTGGTCAAACAAGCTTTAATTAGATTTATCTGAATTCATGTGATTGGCGTGCACTCAGTAGTGAGTATTGTTCAGTACCAGAGTCATGGGTACAGTTTGAACACGATGTCTGGAAGTTGATCGTATCTTGTGGCTTTTCAACATAGTGAGTTATAGAGAGAAGGTTCGATAATGGAGATGAATGGGCTTCTAATGCAAGAAAAACATTACTGTTTAAAAACTAAAAACTATTTTCAAAATGAAATCAATCATGCTCTAACTATTTAAGTAATTATGACAATTATAATTTTGTATTAGTTACCATTATAAATAATCATACGAAGAATAAAGTTTTTTTTTTTTTGTCATTGGTAATTGATAAGAGTGGAGTTCTCTCAAATAACTCGGGGTAATTAGTTGTATTTTCTTCACCCGATTATAAATCACTATTTCTATTAAATTGATTTGGAAATCAAGGTTTTCTTAATAAAATTCAAAAGTTCTATTGAGTAATTTTGTACTAATTCAAAAGTTCTGTCACTTTCTTTCACTAGGTATTTTGTATTCCTTTTTCTCTCTCTCGTAAGTAGGAAAAAAAAGGAGAGAAAATGAGACGTTAAAAATCTTTTCATGAACCATTAGGAAACACCCAGTAACATCAAAACACTGACACAAAATTCATCAGTCTGCAACTATTTTCTGACGTTACAATCCTTTTCTTAGCCATTGCTAAACAAATTTCCACCAATATTAACTACAACACGTTACAAGAGCTTGTCTTCCTTTGTTGCTATGATGCCATACCCGCTTCAGTTCTAACTAGACCACACTCTTGCGTTTCTAACTTCACATTTTTTGGTATCTTCATTGACAGAGTCAATTTCTTTTAACCCCTTGATCTCTTCTTTTTGTGACGATGTTCTCGTTTGTCACTCTGCCTCTGAGACCAACCTCCATCAACTTTCTCATTTTCATTTTCTAAGTATTTATAGTCATCCTGAAGACCAGATCTTCTGTGTCTCAAGCTTTTCCTACAGTAACCATGTTGTCTTTCCATCTCTCTATCAAGCAAATTGTTGTCAGAGTCAGAATCATTGCCACTCTGATGTCTTGAGCTTTTTCTTTTGCCAATGTGATGCCTTTTTCTATCTCTCTCCCCATCTGATTCAACCTCATAAATCCAGTCCCTACTATCTCTCTTCCACTTTCTCGAGTTTTTTCCTTCTCTGCCATGCTGTTTTTCATTCTCCCTAGTATCCCAATCCACATCAGAATCCTCTTCATAGCTTCGACCATTGTCATCCTTGTTCCTGTTAAATGAGCTATTCCTAGTGAGTTCATGGTGCTTTTCCCTGTTTTCCTCTTTTTCTAACCTTTCCCCGTCAAAATCAAAGTTGGCATTCCATTCCTCATCTGGAGTTCTTCGCGTTTTTTTGTCTTCTTGTTTTCTTCTACCAGAACGACCACAATTTAACTGATCCATCTCCCTAGATCTCAATCTTCTTGAGTGATACCTGTAAAAGATTATGATACTGTTAAGAACAAGTACAAGTTCACATGCAAAAAATATGTGAAATATTGACATAACTAAACAAAATACGTTAAAGAAAAAACAAACTGAACAATGAACTTCCATCTGAAGAAAACTATTCCAAGTTATATTTTCTTAACATCAACAATTTCATCAGCCACAAAACTGAAGTTATCTCCCTTAATCCAGCAAGGGACAAAGCTATATAGTGTAGTATTCAAAAACCAAATTCTAGTGTCTAATAGGAGTTTTAGGTAATTCCTCATTTCCTCCATTGGAGTTTGTTATTTGTTTGAAGACTAAAAACCAATTCAGAATTGTGAGCATCTTGTAAAAATCATAGTTGCCAGCCCACCAGGGATCTGATAAACATGTTCACCCAACATTTTTGCTAGAAGATTCTTGGCCTTGGTCTTTTGGATGATCTATAAATACATTAAATTAGTAGTATCCTGTCTGCTTTTAAGCCTTCAACCTTTACAACATCATAAACAATCAACCCGTTCCTCCATCATGATAAAATTTACCACAATTTTTTTTTTAATTTACAATTATTTGCATAGGTTATCAATTTGTCCAGTGACCAATATTTAATCAATTGCATGTCTTGGAATGAGATCAATAAAGTTAAAGCACACCTGTCAGAATCTGTTTTTGAGGTGTTTTTTGGCAAACTCAAATTCCCCTGCTCCTTTAAAGTCTCATAATCATCAGAATAACCAAATAAAGCGACCATCTTTTTTACCCAGTACCGTGGGGGGGGTTTGTCAGAATCTGCCCATTCATAGTCTCCACCAGGATTAGGAAAACAGTGGATAAAATTGCATGCTGTTCCACGTGAACAAGTCTGTTGAGATGCAAAAGCAAAGGAACAGCATCATGAGCATAATTCATCAATTCATAAAATTTTCTAACATCTTATTCAAAGTTAAAAGCTTCAGTTGAAACAAACAAGAGTTCATACGGTTTGCACAGACTAAACCCGCATTTGGTTTGTATCCAAAAACAAAAATAAATATAGTAGTCAATAATACAATCATATACCTTGAAACCTGATTTCATATATTCGCCACATATGGCAACCTTCCACCTCGTCAAATTAACAAATTGACAACTTACCTGCCATAAACCATAGCCAGATAAACATATGAACAATGTCAAGCAATTCACGTCTTCTGCACTTGATTGTAAATCCTAAATTTCCTATCTACCAACCAAAACAGCCATCCTTAAGAGAAACTTGCTCTAAACTTAAAAATTTGACATGACCTTTCAGTACAGAGCTGAATTCTCTGCCTCATTCAGTCATTCCAACCTAAATATGCTCTACCATTGAACAGTTTTGTATCAATAGTTTTTACAGGCTTTCCATGGATATAACAGACGTTAAAGGATATTAATGCAGAACCAAGAAATTGATCAGTTATTCAACAAAGAATGAATGAAGTCTCAAGTAAATATCCCAAGGCACCCAAATTACGATCATACTTGAGCTTTCATGAAATTCATACAGCCATACTTGCAACATTCAATATATTCATCTAGTACAAATAAGACATAGGAATGCAATACCTGTTTCCCAGCAAAGTAGCGACCATTAACAGAGTTATAAGCAAGCAGAGCAGAATCCAACAATTTATACTGTACATAGACATTTCCTCGCAAGTGAAATGAACCATTTTTACACACCTGACAGGGATATATAGATAATAGGATTAGTACCCTGTGATGCAAGAAATTGTATAAGTAGGAGACAGAGAAATCAATAACTCCAGACTTTGAAATTGGTGTCTTCACAAATCAAACATGCTACCATTTTGGTTTCTAAAATATTGGTCTATTGCGTTACAAAAAAAGTCACATCCTTTTTTTTGGTTCAGTTTTTAATTATCAATCTGGGATAGCAGAATGCTCCTAGACTTCTACAACTGGATAGCACAAAGTCAAATGTAGATTTTACTCTAGCATTTTCTTTATATAGTTGTTGTATCTTGCAGTGTCTTGTCATTTTCTTTATACAGACACACGAATTTTTGTAAAAAAAAATTCTGGGAGTTCAAATACAGTTGTCAATAGAATAACAATATTGTGTTGGAGAGCGGCTCCTATGTGTATCTAAAATTATATAGTATTTTAATTTAATTATATAGCAGCTTGTACCTAAAACTGAACATCAAAGTTTCTATTTAAAGTATTGAAAACTTAGTTAACAACTTAATATGAACTAATGCCACTGTTAAGATGTCCCTCCTCCTGCTAATAGAATGTCATCCTCAGTTCTTCAAAACCACGTCCCTTACTCTATTTTATACCCTCACCAGTCCCTTCAACCTTTACCCCCTCGTGTCTTTGAGTCCGCCAGCTTTGTTCATGACCTTAGTCCTGGGCTTTATAAACTCTCACCATGCTCTCACAAATGTGTTTTTCTAGGTTACATTAGGTCTTAGAAAAGTTATAAGTGTTACTCTTTAGCTCTTCATTGCTATTTAATTTTGGCTAATGTCACCTTCTTTGAATTTGTTCCTTTCTTTACACCCAATCCTCTTGTTTTAGTCTCCGAGTCTCCTCCTTTCTTTACCCCCAGCCCCTCTCTGTACCGCCAATGTCTGCAGGTCCGATTTTTGACTTGCTTCTGGTGCCACTCACCATCTCTCCTCCGAGCTTGCCTCCTAAAACTGAAATTTCCATTGCTTTTTGTAAAAGTATACGCTCTACTCATAATTTCTCTCCTCATTATGTTTCTTTGAGTTATCATTGGTTGTCCTCTTCCCATTATACTTGTTTGTCTTCCTTGTCATCTATTTCTATTCCTCAGTCCACAAGTGATGCTCTCTCACATCACGGTTGGAAATAAGTGATGATTGATGAGATGTGTGCTCTTTAGAATAGTGATACTTGGGACCTTGTTTCTCTTCCTCCTGAAAAGTCTCTTGTTAGTTGCAAGTGGATATAAACAGTCAAGGTTGGTTCTAATGGTAAGATTAATCACCTTAAGGCCCATTTGGTGGCCAAAGGTTATACACAAATATTTGGTTTGGACTACAGTAACACTTTCTCCCTATTAGCCAAATGACATATGTCCGCCTACTCATGTCTATGGCTACTATTTGTCACTGGCCTCTTTTTCAGCTTGATATCTAGAATGTTTTCCTTCATGGTGATCTTGAATAAGTTTGTATGGAGCAACCTCCTAATTTTGTTTTTCAGAGAGAGAGAGAGTTCAGGATTTGTTTGTTGTCTTCGGAAATCCCTTTATGGTCTCAAACAATCTCCAAGGGCATGGTTTTGCAGATTCAGCATGGTGGTTCAACAATCTAGCACGACTCAAAGTAAAGCAAATCACTCTATTTTTCATTGTCATTCAACCTCAGGTTGTATTTACTTAATTGTATATATAGATGACGTTGTCATTATAGGAAGTGATCATCATGGCATTGAACAAATAAAGCAACACCTTTGTCAGCACTTTCAAACAAAAGATCTTGATAGATTTTGATACTTTTTGAGGATTAAGATGGCACAATCTAACAATGGTGGTGTGATTTCCCAAAGAAAATATGCAATGAATAACCTAGAGGAAACAGGATTGGTGGGGGCCAAACATGTTGATACTCCTATTGATCTTAATACCAAACTTCTACTAAGTTAGGGAAAGCCACTTTCAGATCCAGAAAGATATAAGAGACTTGTTGGAAAATTTAACTATCTGACAGTTACTCGTCCAAACATCTCTTTTGAATCAATGTAGTGAGTCAATTCCTTAACTCTTCTTGTGATGGACATTAGGATGCAGTAATTCGCATTTTGAAATATATTAAAGGAGCTCCAAGAAAAGGTCTCTTATATGAAGATAAAGGACATACTCATGTTCTGGGGTATTCAAATGCAAGTTGGGAAGGATCACCTAGTGATAGGAGATCTACATCTGCATCCTTATTGGTGGAAATCTAATTTCCTAGAAAAGCAAACAAGAAAGTGTACTTGCAAGGTCTAGTGTAGAAGCAGAATATTGAACTTATATGCCTTAAACAACTACTTAAAGAATTGAGATTTGGAGAAGTTAGAGAGATGACACTTATTTGTAATAATCAGGGAGCTTTACATATTGCGTCAAATCTAGTTTTCCATAACAAAACTAAACACATTGAGATAGACTGTCACTTCATTAGAGAAAATTTTATCTATAGGCATTATTACTAGCTTTGTAAATTCTCATGATTAACTAGCAGATGTTTATACCAAATCTTTAAGAGGTCCTCAAACTAGTTATATATGCAACAAGCTTAGTGCATATGATTTATATGTTCTACTTGAGGGAGAGTGCTGGAATTATATAATTATAGTAATATTATAAATAGGGAAATTAATATTTTTGTAATTATAGTAATTTCTTATTCTGTATCAATAGTTCCTATTATAAATATATATTCTAGTGTGTAGTCAAAACACACGGATTCTCCCTATGTTTCTTATTCACTTTTCTTAACATGGTATCAAAATCTATCCAGTTTGAATGTTGGACTGCCCATAGATATCCAATCCTGGACGTGAAGGGGGTAGTAAGATGTCCAACATTTGTTAGGAATAGAGCTAGAATACTTCTTATAAGGGTTAGAGTAGTCCTCTTCCTATGAGTTAGCTTTTGAGAGTAAGTTAGGGCCAAGTTTCTTAACCGCCACAATTATTTGAGAAATGCGGTCAAAATTTCATAATAAAAAATATTTTTAAGCAAAACTTACATAGACACATAGACATAGTAGTAAAAAAGAACCTTAAAGTTCACAATTTCTCCAAATTTCAGGAACTCCGTGTGAACATCCTCATAAAATTCTTCAAAACAACGTTCAACCTCTTCATCTGTATACTGACAAAGGGGTTAAACAAGAAAGTTCAGTATTCGATATAATATCTTGCATTGCTCATAATATTTAATCATTTTTTGTAAAATGCAAGTCTAACCATTAAATCATATGATATTATCTTTATGATCATGCACATTCACAATTTAGATAAATTGATCATTTATAAGTAATCTTATAATAGACTTTCACTTGAATTATGCAATAAAATAAAGTTGTATAATGAAGCATAAACTAATTTTTAAACTATTATATGAAATTTTGAAGACTGCACAAATATAATAAAAACTTTCAACCCAACATTCTGTTAAATAGAACACACACACACACATAGAGGATATATCTAATGACAGTCATTTTTATGAGTGAAGAGAAAATGTGAGCCACACATTCATATATGGATGGTTAAGGTTAAAAGCTTTTACATATTGTGTAATCACTTTAAAAAGTCATATTCCCTTTTCAAAACTCACATGACTAGTTTGTTTTAATGTAGACCAGTGTTGTTAAATGGTGGCCATGGCGGATTGCAATGGCGGTTTTTAATCCCGCCATTACACCGCTTCCGTTTTATGGCGTTTCTGCGTGGCGGCGTCATGGCGACCATTACGTGCACGGCGGTAACAATAGCCACGGCGGAAAACCTTGAAAAATGGCGATTTGCGTGGTTTGGGCCCAAACCCGACCCGGTCCAAAGGCTGACTAGCGCAAGAAAACCTTACCTCTTCGTCACTCAAAAACTCTTCCCCCTCATCTTAGATCTCTCTCTTCTCTCATCTTTCTCATCTTTGCTCGTCTCCGACATCGTTCTACACTCATCTTTAATCTGTTATTTGTTTTGCTGGGTTCGATTGTTCTGTTCTTCATCTCCGGTGACTAGTCCTCCATCTCCGATGACTTCAACTTCTATTTCCAGCAACTAGTCCTCCAAATGAGGGAAGGGAGCCACCCCAAACCAAAGATAGAGACGGCCCACTAAGAGAGAGAGAGAGATGGATATTGGAGAAGATAGCTCGAACAGAAGTGGAGAAAGAAAAAAGGGTTAGGGAAGTAGTGTGATAAGACTATTTTACCCTTAAAAAAACTTAAAACATAGGAAAAAAACAGAAAGCTAAATTTTTTTAAAGGGAAAAAGTCTTTTTACTGTTATAAAACCCTAAAAACTGTGGGACAGAAAAGAAAAGTAAACATTTTTATTGGAACCCTAAACAGAATGGCGGAAGAAAAGATAACATAACAAAAAAATTTAAAAATGTTTATTTTTGTATTGAATTATGGATGAAGCTACTTGTGTTTTGAGTTAATTTTTTTTCCTATAATTTTTTATTACATATATATAAAATCTTTTTTATATATTTATTATAGCCACCATAACCCGCCATGGTGTCCGCCACAGTTTTATGGCAGTTTTTTGGGTTTCCGCCATGACCTGCCATCCGCCATTGATAACATTGATGTAGACCATTTCTAATAAAATCTAACAATCAATATTTATTCATCTTATTTTTATTTAAAAAAAGACATATATGTACATACATATATATACATCCCAACACTTCACTCCAACCAAATACTCCAATCCAATGAAAACAGGAAAATTCTGCCTAATTTTTTCCCTTCATTCTTATCTCCAAAACCTCTGAATATAATTTGCACACTACCCCTAAGCCCATAGACAAACCTGAAGCTTAGCATATATTACAAGCAACTAGAATACTAGTTTCATCTAAAGTGACATGTTGATGCAATCATTTCAGATGACTTTGATAAGTACTCTCTAAACCAGTTTATTTAACTAGGATGAAATTAGGGGTCCACTGCTCTTAGTTCCCATTAAGGTTTTACTAGGCAGCCTTTAAGCTAGTAAACTAATGATTCTGATGATGAATTAATGCATCTTACTATTGTATTGTTTTTTTTTTTTTAAGTAACTTTAACTAAAAATGTGTTAGTTGTATAGTATGGAAATTTGTAATGATTTTTAAAATTATTTTAATTTGTCTTGAAAATAATACCTTTTGATGAAAATTAATGCAGTTAAAAATTATATTTAAGGGCATTACTTTACAAGAGTTTTAAATAACAAGTTCAATTAAGTGTTGTGTCCAGTAAAAGTCTGGAATTTAATGAGTCTGGAATTTTATGGTTCATAATGAAATATATAAGGTATCAGGATCAATATAAAATGGTGATATATATAATATAACCCTTCAAATGTGCCATCAAACATGAAGTGCAATATGAGACGTTCAAAATCTAAATGAAAATCTATCTAGAATATTTCCATCTAATTACACAAGAACCTATAAAAAGTGAAAACAGAGCCCACAGCATGATTTGACTACAGAGGCTTTATGGATATAATCTTTGGCATAGTAGCCAAAACATGACAAAAAAAACTGTGTAAAACCCTCCCTCCCTCTGCAGGAAAAAAAAATCACAATAGCAATGAATTTTAAGGATCACTAACTGCATTAACATTTTTAAGATCTTGCTGCTGCAACCTCAAACCCTTTGAAGGTCATGATCATTAGTCTGCAACATAGCTCCATAAGCCAAGACTTGGATAATGCCTGACAACTACTTATGGTTAAGGAGCATGAACATGTATATTATTAGTGTAGAAGATTTTGGAAGTTGTGACAATGATCAGAAAAAGTAGAGTTTCTTTTAAATATTCACTCTAATTATGGAATCTACTTTAAAAAATTATGCTGACATAATATTAATTGAAACATCATGGAAAGAAATAATCCTCCCCTCTCACATGGAAAAATAAATAAAAATGTCACAAAAGTATGATGATAATGGTATTGTGGGACTCAGATAGTAAATAAAAATGAAGGAAAAGAAAAAAAAATAATAAAAGTTAAACCAAGCAAATTAAAAGAAATAGAATGACCAAGTAACAAACAAAGAGGGGGGATCAATATCAATAGCTTATTCCCAAGCTCAGCAAGCAGGATACAACAGCTAATATCTTTAACTTCAACCAACCAAGACCAAAACCATGAGTCTCCACCAAAATGAATGTTGCAATGATTCTCTGGTTATTATTAAGTCAAAGAATTGAATTGAACAGACTCCTTTCACAAGGACAAGAATCAGATGAAGCAACTGCACGAAGAATTATGTAATCAAGAAAAATGAATTTAAGGCAAACAAACGGTACCAACATCCTGTACGTGAGATGTAAGGAGGAAGAGGAAGCAACAAGTAGAAATGTTGAACACGAACCACAGAAAGAATAGGATTACCTTGATTTGGATTTCTTGTTTATTACTATTATTTATTAAATTGACAAATGAAGCACAGCAGAAATAATGAGGATACAGTGAAGTAGCATGAACAGACCTCAAGGCCCTCATCTTGCTCCCAAGAAAGGCCTGGACCGTTGTACATGTTTTTCATGAGAAGGGTGCAGGACTTGTCAGGGTAAAAATGGACTCTGCTACAGCGTAGACCAAAACGACATGCTCCGGTTTTTAGATGAAAAGGGCAATGAGCTTTATCCTGGCATGCAGAAAATAGATGATGTTATGTTAAAGAGGCACGACACGAGTGAGAAGAGAAGAGAAAATACCTGTTCGGTTCCGAAATTGGGAACTTGTTGAGCAACATTCTCCAGCATCTGAGCCTGAGCGGGCGATTCTGGGGGAAAGGGATTGGATGTAGGTCTATACTCATCCTCATACTCATCCTTGTCCTTGTCCTTGTCCCTGTCCCTGTCCCTAACCCTAACTCTGATTTGTTTCTTCTTGAGGATGATCTCGTTTCCTTGCCAAATAATCTGTGGAGGCCCTTCTTCCTCAACATATTCATATTCGTCATCATCAATTTGGTCCTCTCTCTCGTTGGAATGGGATTGTTGTTGCTGCTGAAGCTGTTGTTGGTCGATCATCTCCATCCAAGCCCTCTCTCTCTCCTCGAATTGGATCCTGTCCCTTTCCATTCTCTCAGCCTCTTCCTGCTCCAGCAACTGCAACCGCCTCTGCTCCCCGGGATCGTTGAGACGCTCCTCCTCCTCCCGCCGCTCCCTCTCCGCTGCTTCCTTCCTCAGTTGCTTCCGCTTCATTTTCTTCATTGCCTTCCGCTTCTCCTTTCGATTTATACTCATTCTCGTACCTTCACCCCACTTCTCTTCCATTTCTGTCTAAAGTCTCAGCAGACTACTTCCTCTAGTAATATATACACACGGGTTATTATCAGACCATTCTCGTGGCCTTGTGCTTCTCTTTTCTACAGCCCATTATTCAGTTTATATTTCTTAAGCTTGAAATTCAATAAATTGAAAATTTCCTTCCTCGTCAATTCTTTTACAGCTGCCAAAATATTTTCAACATAATTAATTTAATTTTTCAATTGCATATGATATGTATCAAAGTAATAAATATTTAATAATTTTATAATTATTTTAAAATATAACTTATTTTAAAATAATTAAATTTACATATTAAATATTATAAATTTTATATAAACAAAGATATTTTAAAAAAATAAAAGTTGATACAAAATAATAAAGATAGAGATTCACAAAAAAATTTAAACATTTATATAAGATAATAAAATAAATTTAAATAAAAAATTTTATTTATAAAAATTAGAATAAAATTAATAAACAATAATAAATAATAAAACCATTATAATAAAAAAAAACTATAATTTACATGTCATTTTAAATAATTTTAATATAAATAAAACATTGTAAAAAAAATAATTTTATTAGATACTTCAGTTACTTAGATATAATACTCTAATTTATAGTGTAAAAATTAATTGATTGCATAAAAATTTCTAAACTTTCAATTCACTAAAATTAAGCTTAAAAAAATCATATCTTGATTGTAAAGTATTGATGTATGGATGCAGCAGATTTTCAATTGTTATGTATTAAATTTTTTGTAAACGCAAAAAATTAAAAAATTAAAAATAATTCAATATTTTTTCCATAAGCTAAAAAAAATAAAAGAACTGTGATTAAAATTATTAGTTTTAAAACTAAACAAATATATTTATAAAAGATCAAACTACAAAAGGATTCAATCTCGACTATTATTTACCTAGAAGAAAAAATCATTTGATTTAACATTTAAAATTTTTAGAATACTCTTTTTTTTTAGTCTTTTAACAACCATTTTTTTCTAAAAAATTTTATGGATGAAAAAATATTATTATAAATCAGAAGGATTAAAATTTTAATAGAGAGATTATTATTTTAAAAATTTAAAAGAATATAAATGATGTATGCATAGAATATAATAATTATGTTGATATAAATTTTTTATATTCTACAGATATATCATTATCAATCTATTGTTATATATAATTTTTAAACACTAAAAATATATAATTACAGTAAATGTAAAAATGTTATTATATTAATAAAAAAAAACTTATTTTCTTATATAACTGTTAACTTGCTCAATAAATTTATTAAATATAATGTCAATGATATTAAATTATAACTTAAAAACAATCATACCGTAAAAGAGTGAACCCAAAATATAGATTCTATGTATTCTCATTTTATTTTGAATATTTAAGTATAAGATTTTTGTAATATTTTTTTATAAATTTTCTTAATAATCCTCCTAATTTACAGGGTATTATTAAATAAAATTTTTTATACATAAATTATTTAAAAAATATAAAATATTTAATATTTATCAATTTAATAATTAAAAATATAATTATACAATGTTAAAGATTTTATATCTATGATTATTAATAATCAAAGATTTTAAAGATTATATTTATGACTAAATACAATCATTAGAATTAAGCTTGAAGAAGTGACTCATAAAAAGTAGAGACAAAAATATATAGAAAATATTTTTTTAACATACCAAAGATACTAGTTAAAAATAAGATCTAAGAACAGTTTTGTCTAAATTAAGAGAGTGGTTATTAGTGTTCTAAAATCCTGCGTTATTCAATGTCTTGCATCTAAGAAAATAATTAAATAACGACTTTCTAAACTTAATACTTCAGCAACGAGCGGTTAGGCGCACAACCGCTCTCTAAAGTTAAGATAAGAGAGTGGTTCTTATGGAACTGCTCTCAGAAGCTTTTACAAAGAGAGTGATTCAAACACATCCGCTCTATTATCTCGCACTTTTCAAAGCAATTTCATATTAATCACACTTCAAAGTCCACTTTTGAGAGTAGTCATTTTTTAATCGCTCTTAAAAATCAACATTTGAGAACAATTTTTGGTGAACCGCTCTCTTAAGTTTAGAAAAATTTTGTTAAGATCTTAGTAAAATTGACATTATTCTAATTTTTGACATACCTAATAAACCATATATTATTCAGAAACAGTGTAAACAGAATAAAAATGTAAAATAGTTTAATATACTTGAATTTCAAATCACATGCATATTACATTTATCAATCAGAAATCAAATCAATTTTGGAACATACGAATATCTACCCAAAGTATCATAATATTAATACATAAAAAATGCATCTTTAAAAATTACAATTACAGAGAATCACAATAAAAAAAAGCTCAACGATCTATACACTTTTGCCTTCAGTATTTATAAATATAACTAGGTCTTGTTAAAAAAAGCACTAAGAATCTATTGTGCTTAACGTGTCCTTTAAATATCTACGGTACAGATATGCATATTAATCTAAATTGGTAGATATTTAACTAGAACAAATAGAAATGATATATGAAGATTTTGAATATAGAGTCCTTTTACATTATTTGGGATTGTAATTTGTCCATAGTGTAAAGCATCTTCAATAAAGAGACACACATAATATGCACAGTCATCATTATTTGTTTGCTTATGATACTTTATGGAGAAAAAAACATAAAAACTATGATTAATGCATAATTATATATAATATAAATTAAATAGTTGTTTTAAGAGATTCATTGACTATAAACTTTGAATGAAGTCATTTGATCTTGATACTTACCACCCAAAACATACATTTACATTTAAGTAACTCTTCTGTGAGATCATGCTTTCCTATGTATACCGATTTCATGGAAGTAAGGGAGAAAGAGTGGAAAGCTTTGTTTTCTATTTATCAATGCTTAGATGTTGCTTATTTTGAAAAGATTATTGTAGCAACCATAGCTAAGAAGGCATGAGATATTTTGAAAAAATGTTACAATTATAGTGAAAAGATCAAGAAAGTGCAAATTTAATCACTAAAAAGACAATATGAATTGTTTTAAATATATAATTAAGAAAAGGTGGCAAGTTATTTTCCTAGCGTTGAGCCTCATTGTAATAACTCAATTTTCAACTATTGCATGTATATAAATGCATGTATGCTCTGCGATACATACATTTGAACAACTAAGCTATTATTGAGCATTGAGCATTTTACATTTAAATTCCTCATCAAGTTGACTAAAATGTTTTTACAAGCTATTTTGAAATGAGTATCATATTTTTGTGTTTTATAAAAATTATATTTCCATTTTAAGATATTTTGCAACATCTCAATTTTCACTCTTTCTATGTGCGCAAGTGTGAGTATGATCCGTAGTACATACACCTAAGTAGCTAAGTTATATAGAACACTTAATTCAATTAAGTTCTTTGTCCAAATTAGTTACAGTGTTTGGTGAATTTTAATATCCTCCCTTCTTTTATAATAAGTGTGTTGGTTTGAAAGCAATGCATAGGCGATTCATATTGAGGCTGAGTCGTTGATTGGAGAAGTTTAAAAATGAATGGCTAAGATTAAAAGTTGAAAAGGTTAACAAAAGCTGAGAGAAGTTATGAGTGAGGTAGATGAAGAGAGATAATAAAGTAAAACTAACATTTTGTATTCTGAAAGGGCATCTTTACACAACTCTACCATTTTTATCTCTCTCCTTTCGTCTCAACCTCCTTCATTCTCAATTTTTTTTTATCAAAACTTTGAAATTAGTTGAATAAAATTAACCAAGGTTTAATAGTGATATATATTTTTTTGAAAAAAAAAACTCTCAAATCAGATGAAATCTCACCCGAAAATGAGTTTTCTTAATCCCTTTCATTGGATATTTCTTTATCTTTCTTGTTTATCTTGCTCCTGATAGTCATTTTATTCAGTTTGTTTATTTATTCTGCAATTTGCTTATAAAAACCTTGTTTTTTGTAGAAGAAAAAAGTTGTTGTAGCTAATGCCAAAATTGAAACTTAGCATGTGGTCTTTCCTTATTCTCTCATGTGGCTTCCTCCAACATTTCCTCTAAATCACATGCAGAGCCCTATCAATTGAAAATGGGTTTTAATCTACATAACAAAAAACACATTGAGATATGATAGAAAAATCTCACCAGAAAGGGCTTTGACAAAGCTAAGAAGATAAAACATGGTTGGAAAAATGCAAAAATAAAAAAGACATAATATATATATTTAAAAAATGCAATTTTCTACATCAGTTCTCTCAAAAAACTGATGTAGAAAGTTATTTTTTTTACACTTCTACATTGGTTCTCTCATAAAACTGATGCAGAACATATTTTTAAAAAAAAATATACAACTTTCTACATTAGTTATCTAGAGAGAATTGATGTAAAAAGTTATTTTTTTACACAGCTACTTCTACATTACTTCTTTCAGAAAATTGATGCAAAACTTTTTTTTCATTTTGCGTAGCTACTTTTACATAGGTTTTTTTTTATTGTTTTTTTTTAAATATACTTTCTACGTCAGTAAAGAACTGATGTAAAAAATAGCAAAAAATTTTGAATGTTAATTTTAACGTTATGAACTTTGAAGGTGCATATTTTTCTGGGTAAAGAGTTATGATGAGAGCATACAATGGTTAATTAAGATCGAGAACACAAAATAGAGCCAAAAGGTAATCAACATAATCTACCAGCATCGCTTAGTTAGGACTGGATATAAAGCTGGAAATCTCAAGTTTGCTATAAGTTGTGATTATGTGAAAGACTATGAGTTTGTTGCAATTTTTGACACAAATTTCCAACTAAATCCTAGTTTTCTTAAGCAAACTTTGTTTTATTTCAAAAATAGAAAGAGAATATAAACACATTCAATAAGGATTCTTGATAAATTCATGTTTATCATATTTTAACATGTATCCTTTTATTATCAGACAATCATGAATTAGGCCTTGTCCAAGCTAAATGAGCTTTTTGTGAACAAGGATGAGAACTTGTTGACACAACATTAATTTATGCTTCTAATTTTTTTAGTGCTTTTCATATTTTTCTTTTTTAGGTAAATAGCTCTTTTATTAATGTTGAAGA